GGACTTTTACTCAGGAGCACCCAAATATCATGGAAAACTTGAAATGGTTCGTGGAAATTTCACAAAGTTTAATTTTGTGTTCCTGTGTTACCTTTCCAATGCCGTTTAAATTATTCGATTACCTTATTTGGCTTGTGGATATTAACAGGTTCCAGTACTGACTCCAGAAGGCCTGTACGAGTTAGCAATGCCGTTTGGTCTAAAGAACGTGCCTTCAGTATTTCAGAGAGCGGTAATGAAAGCATTAGGCGAACTAACGTACTCGTATGTTATCGTTTACAATCATTATGATATGTGATTGTGTGATTTTGACAACATTTTCGTTTAAGGGTCCATTCTGGTTAGTTATGTAAAAAAAAATTGAATCTAGAACTTTAGAATATCATACCGAAAGGGCAAATCGAAATACGTAATAGTTTAAAAGTTATGAGCCTCCGAGCCGGCCGACTCAAAGCAGGTAGAGAGTTTTGTGGAAAACTGAATTTTTCGAGATGGCGACCGTCATATCTCAGTCAATTTTTAACGAATAATAATTTTATTTTTATACCCTTGCAGGGTATTATAATTTCAGTCAGAAGTTTGCAACGCAGTGAAGGAGACGTTTCCGACCCTATAAAGTATATATATTCTTGATCAGCATCAACAGCCGAGTCGATCTAGCCATGTCCGTCTGTCTGTCTGTCCGTCTGTCTGTTTCTACGCAAACTAGTCCCTCAGTTTTAAAGCTATCTTCTATATGCTCTCACTGCTATATATGTCGGAACGGGCCGGATCGGACGACTATATCATATAGCTGCCATACAAATGTTCGATATATTTGTAGAAAAAAAATTATAACTTTGCTGTTTTTCAACATTTTTACACCATTTTATAGATATGGCTATTTTATATTATTTTAGAATTTTGGTACAAATTTTTTGAAAATCGGACGACTATATGATATAGCTGCCATAGGAACGATCGAGAAATAAATAGGAAAAAAATTATAGCTTCGTTGTTTTTCAACGTATGTTTATCTACTCTGAGATATAGGCTTTTTTTGTTATTCTAGAATTATGGTATAAATTTCATAAAAATCGGACAACTATATCATATAGCTGCCATAGGAGCGATCGGTAGATGTAGAGAAAATGTAAGGCTGGGAATGTAAAACTGTAACTGTCAAACTGTAAACATAATCTTAATATATAAAAATCTCCTGTCACTATGTTTGTTCGCTATGGACTCCTAAACCGCTTAACAGATTTCTATCAAATTTGCAGGCAATATGCAGTTTGGTTCAACTTGAGAGATAGGATAGCTAAGATCTTTTACATCATGGCAGTTTCGGCAGAACAAGGAGGAATCTTCTTTTTTTATGCACTCCTCCGAAACGGCTTTACCGATTCTCATGAAATTTAGTGTGCTTATGCAGTTTGGTTCAACTTGAGAGATAGGATAGCTAAGATCTTTTACATCATGGCAGTTTCGGCAGAACAAGGAGGAATCTTATTTTTTTATGCACTCCTCCGAAACGGCTTTACCGATTGTCATGAAATTTAGTGTGCTTATGCAGTTTGGTTCAACTTGAGAGATAGGATAGCTAAGATCTTTTACATCTTGGCAGTTTGGGCAGGAAAAGGAGGAATCTTATTTTTTTATGCACTCCTCCGAAACGGCTTTACCGATTCTCATGAAATTTAGTGTGCTTATTTAACCAAATCTTTATGCTGTGCTCGGGCTATTTTGTTGATGAGTTTGCACCAAATTGGTTGAGCGGTTCTTCACGTATTACATATTTTGTAATAAATTATTTCAATAAATCGCATTTTGTCAGATTGTCTTTTCTTTTATTGTCATTTGTCATTCATAATTATTGTTTTGTGTTTATAAGTGGTGAGTCTCTAAATTCTCATTTAAAATACATTAAGAAGGTAAGATATTATTTTCAGCAAAATGCCACCGAAAAGATCGACTCTCAACAACGTAAGCAGCAGAGTGGCACGACGCAGACGTTTCGAAAGAGCTCATCAGTTCCCAGAACAAGTTAATACAAGAAATAGAGCTCAAAGAATTAGGACAGCAGAAGGTCGTCGTCATTAGTTCGTACATCATTCGTTCGTCTTGCTTTTGAATATGCACCAGATATTAACTACTCTGCGCATTCAAAAATTGCTATCGGTGGAAAGGACAAAGTATGTCAATATTGTCAGGCGTTTAAATTTCGGAATGAAACTGCCGGTATGTGCTGCGCATCAGGAAAAGTCGTGCTCTCTACCTGCTCCGCCAGAACCTTTATTAACCCTTCTTGCTGGAAATTCAATTGACTCAAAATTATTTTTGCGTAAAATACGCAAATTTAATTCTTCTTTAATTCTTCCACTAAAATTTGTGATCTTGCATCCGATGGACGTAATTCTGAAACTACATTAAAAATACAGGGCCAGGTGTACCACAAAATATATTTTATGGGCAATTGTGAAGAGCGCGTAACGACTCGGTGCCAGTATAATTTTATTGAACAAGCAGAGGAAGCGATTTAGGAGTCTATAGCGAACAAACATAGTGACAGGAGATTTTTATATATAAACATTACTGTTCAAGGTTTAATATTTTATTTACTGACAACTCTGTAATATGCTATATATATATATACATATCACAAAAAGGGGCCCGGACTTGCCGTGACGATGAAAGGGCTATCCACTTTGCAAATCCTTTAAAGCCTGTACCGAATGTCCCCTAGAAATCAGCACCAGAATATATAAACCCTAATTTCTTTCAAAATTATAATTGAACTGCCAACATACGCAGTCAGATGTATCGCATTTATAGTCAATATTGAAATGAAGGATCTGGGAACCAGGAAATTAATAAAAAAAACAAGAAAGAAAGCTAACTTCGGCACGCTGAAGTTTGTCTACCCTTGCAGATTGGTTTTGATGTTTATATTATAGATTATAATACTGAACACACTCACTTTCATTACATTTTACCAATACTTATTATGTTTACAGTTTGACAGTTACAGTTTTACATTCCCAGCTTTACATTTTCTCTACATCTACCGATCGCTTCGATGGCAGCTATATGATATAGTTGTCCGATTTTTATGAAATTCATACCAAAATTCTAGAATAATAAAGAAAGCTTATATCTCAGAGTAGATAAAAATACGTTGAAAAGCACCGAAGTTAAAATTTTTTTTCCTATTAATTTCCTGATCGTTCCTATGGCAGCTATAAGATATAGTTGTCCGATTTTCATAAAATTTTTACCGTAATTCTGATGCAAAAATTTTGAAAAACAGACAAGTTATAATTTTTTTTTTTTTTTTTAATTTATCGAACATTTGTATGTCAGCTATATGATATAGTCGTCCGATCCGGCCCGTTCCGACATATAAGTTTAATTCAGATAGCTTTAAAACTGAGAGACTAGTTTGCGTAGAAACGGACAGGTGGACAGACGGACATAGCTAGATCGACTCGGCTGTTGATGCTGATCAAGAATATATATATACTTTATAGGGTCGGAAAGGTCTCCTTTACTGCGTTGCAAACTTCTGACTGAAATTATAATACCCTGCAAGGGTATAAAAATTATGGATTCACTATTTTTCAACTTATTTTTATCAAATCTGAGATATTCAAATTTCGTTTTTAATTTTAGTAAAGTATATTTATTTTTTATCAACATCAACGGCCGAGTCGATCTAGCCCTGTCCGTTCGCCCGTCAGTCTGTCCGTCCGTTCGTCTAGCCGTTTCTACGCAAACTTGTCCCTGAATGAAACTTTGCATAAAGTCTTCTATATACTCTCACTGCTATATATGTTGGGCTGTCATACAAATAATTGATAAATACATTTCAGATTTTCGGTTTAATTTTATAAAAATCAAACGACTATATCTTATAGCTGCCATCGGAACGATCGGAAAATTAAAGAAAAAATTATAACTTCGTTGTTTTTCAACGTATTTTCATCTACTCTGAGATATGAGCTTTTGTTTTTATTTCATCATTTTGGTATAAATTTTATGAAAATCGGACAACTATATCATATATCAACTATATGTATAGCTAGTAATGTAGAACTGAAAACATAATAAGCATAGGTAAAATGTTATGAAACTATGCTTTGTATGTGTTTAGCATTTTATTTATGCTATAAATATACAACTTTTATATGTTGTTGAGCCGGCTTGAGGTCATTAGCTCCATGTCGAACAGAGCAGACGTTTAAAACAATTTGCCCTGAAGATCTAGGTCAACCGAAATATATTGGACCAAATCAAAATAAAAGCTTTTCATTTATTTTGGTATTCCACCCCCTCCCTGACTACAAGCCGGCTCAACAACATATAAACAAAGGAAAGGTTGTTTTTGTTTAACACACTCTTTGTTATGTTTAACCTGAACAGTTCAGCACAGTATTTTCTAACACGTGTCATGGATTGCAAGGTAAACGAAGCAAGTGCAATGAACGAATAGGCAAATGTAAGATTTTTTTACAATAAATAATGCAATAAACTATGTAATAAATGCACTAAAAGAAATAAAAAACCGTTGTTTTTTTTATTATTATTTCTGCATATCATATATCATATAATAGTTTCTTTCATTTTACAGTAAATAAACTGAACACCAAAACTCTGTACACCAAATTTGCTATACAACTACGGAGTGAGTGAAAACACTCTGTCAATACGGAATTTACTGTGCAAAGAAAAAAGTGTAGCTATACCCAAAGTATTTCATTTTCCGTTATGAGTAAATTCAAGCGGAAGTCTAATATGTATACTGGAGAAGCAACTTCTGTTTAAAATTATCATGTTTTATTTCTTAGATAAAGATTCATGGCCAAAATATGTATGTTGGACTACAGATTCGTACTCAGTGCGAACAAAAAAATTTATAAATCTACCCAGAATTTTCTTTTAACTGAATAACACAGGCAAATGTTATCAATCTTCCTTTGAAATAATCGGATAATGATTTTGAGTATACTGCAGATTCTTACCTAATTTATTCGAGAATGTATCGGCGCCCATTAAAGTAACATTGCCCGAACAAGTTTCCATAATTTGTGGCGAATGTATGGATGTATCTATAAAAAAACAAAAAAAATATATATATATATATATATAAATTATATAAAATATGGGCATATCCGCCATTATTTATCTTTAATAAATAATTCAAAAATGTTCTTGTTTAGTATGAATGTGGTTATGGAATAGACTAGAATTATAAAAATTTAATAAAAAATAAAAAAATGGCGGCGATTCAAAATTGTTTTTTCGTTTTCGTGAAAATTTTCTTCACTTTTTAGTTGATTAAAAATCCAATGTATAAGCAATCAATATAATTATAGTCTATTCCATGGACAGCTTCATTACGCGTATTAAAAAAAAAACATTAAGATTCGTTAAAAATTAACTGAGATAGGACGGTCGCCAGCTCGAAAAATGTAGTTTTCCAGAACACGCGTTTAAAGTTTTATGTTTGCTTTGTACCTCCTATAGTCGGCCGACTCGGAGGCTCATAACTTTTAAACTATTACGTATTTTGATTTGCCGTTTTAGTATGATATTCTAGACACTTATAACTATCAAAAAATGCAACAAAAAAATTCGATTATTTTTTAACTAACCAGAATGGACCCTTAAGTTTAAGTTAAGGTTTACCGTTGGCGAAATAAATGAAAAAAATAAATGGTCAACCAGGGCCGAAAAAAAGTTTCTTTTTAACTTTTTTTTTTGTAGTTTCATTATTAACCCTCTAGTGCCCCAATTTTTTTTTTTTTTCAAAAAAAAATTGTTTTTGGATTCAGTATGTATCAAAAGTGAATGTTTGTTTTGGAAAAAATTTTACTTTTGCTCGGATCGAGTTTTATATGACTAAAACCTTGGACCGCATGAAGGCGGTTCTGGGAATATAGGCCAACAAAAAATTAGGTAAAAAATTTTTTTTGTTTAAATGTTTATTATAAATGTCATTGAGACTGTCAGCAACACAGTACAATTTTTTGTTCTAATTTTTTTCCAATTTAAAAAAAAAAGTATTTACATGTTGTATTTCCTTCAAAATAATTATTTTGTCCGATTTGCACAAATTTTCAGCTTCAAATGAATACAGCAGCTTGCGCTAGCTCTAGTATGTATTCCAAACGCAACGAACTTAATTTTTGGACTTTCCTGAATTAGAAAAAACGGAAAACCGTGTGAAAAGGAATGAAAATAATAAAATAACGGTGTTTTTAACATTGCCCGTCTAGAGGCGGTCTTGGGCACTAGAGGGTTAAATGTCCCTATTTTCATAATACAATGGATTCATAGCATATCTCAGTCGTTTTCCGGAAAAAATTTAAATTTAAATTTAAAATTTATTAAGTTTTTAATGCGCCCACGTTAACACTTGTATACCTTGCGTGCATACTTGACTTGAGGCACTTAAAGTTGGAATTCGATATTAAAACTTACACAGTATATTCTTTAAGTAATAAACTATGTTTTAAACCAAAAAAAAAAATTTGTCTAAAAAGTTTTGGTTTACATGTATATCCCCCCTTAAGGGCAAGCATGTGTATGAAACTTCGTGTTAAGTCATTTTGCTGTTACCATTTTAAATATACAAAAACTTTGAGATTACTACCAAAGAGTATAGAACTAAATAGAGCGGACATCTTCCAGCGGTAGAACCCGCATTTTCACCGTGGAACCCGCATGGCTCGATTGGGCACCCAAGGGCTATATATACTATGTAGTTTTTGTATGTACTATCACTAACCATACAACATATAGACTGGTCATTTCATACAACGAAAATGGACACAAAAATTTCCTAACATGCGGTCCCATGTTAACTGTTTGCTGTTAGCGACAGACCGTCTGTTAGATTTTAGCTGTTAGCGTCCCGTCCCATGTTAGCTGTCAGCTGTTAGCGTCAGGCCTTTACATGTATGCGTGTTCATGCATTCACGTACACGGGTGCATGTGTGCGACCATTTCATTTCGGGCCAGCAAGAATATTTGGTCTTTTGCTACTTTTCGCGCTAGGTACCCTAACAATATGGGCATATTCGCTATTGGGTTAATGATACAAATAAGAATGCTATATGTTATAATATATTTCTAAATGTTTCAGCATTCATTTCATATTTGTTTACAATTCAAATCAGTGGCAGCAGTGAAATGTGTTGCATATATGTACATATGTATTCGAATGAATAACAATTCATCTACTGAGATAAGAACAGGGCATATTGCAGTCGGTGTCGTTTAAAACAGAGACGGGCACGAGATCTAACGCTTTGGGTAGCAGCTCGGCAAAAAAAAAAAAACAACAACAACCCCCAGCGTCTCGACGCGTTGCAGCACACAGAATGTGCAAGCGATCGCGAGCACCGACTGCAATATGCCCTGTTCTTATCTCAGTAGATGAATTGTTATTCATTCGAATACATATGTACATATATGCAACACATTTCACTGCTGCCACTGATTTGAATTGTAAACAAATATGAAATGAATGCTGAAACATTTAGAAATATATTATAACATATAGCATTCTTATTTGTATCATTAACCCAATAGCGAATATGCCCATATTGTTAGGGTACCTAGCGCGAAAAGTAGCAAAAGACCAAATATTCTTGCTGGCCCGAAATGAAATGGTCGCACACATGCACCCGTGTACGTGAATGCATGAACACGCATACATGTAAAGGCCTGACCCTAACAGCTGACAGCTAACATGGGACGGGACGCTAACAGCTAAAATCTAACAGACGGTCTGTCGCTAACAGCAAACAGTTAACATGGGACCGCATGTTAGGAAATTTTTGTGTCCATTTTCGTTGTATGAAATGACCAGTCTATATGTTGTATGGTTAGTGGTACTATGTAGTTTTTGATCCGAGAAAACTACGAGCAGAGCAGAGCATAGGCTTTGCCGATCTTCTGCTACGGCTCTCGTCATAGCGAGAGCGGTAGCAATAGCAAAACGAAATACTACGGGAGTAGCGTAGTTTTTCAAACGCTGTTTTCGACAAATAAAAACAAATTTAGACAACTATTTGAGGGTATTTGTGGGTGTTTTTAAAATATTACATGTTGTATGACGAAATGTAGCGAAGAAACATTTTTGTTTAAAACAAGTTTTTAAGTTCAAAATTTTTTTAGGCACGCCGAAGTTTGTATACCCTTGAATCCATTTTAAAAGATAAGTTATTGCTTCAGAATATTCTGTTACAATTCGAACATTTTTTCATATTAATTTCATTAATTATGAAAATACAAACTCAACAAACCCCACCATTTACACAAAGCAAAGAGCTAACATACTATTAAAAGGCAAAAAAAAAGTTTCAGAAAACGTTTCATGTATATTTTTTTTTTAAATAAGAACGTACAAACGTACTTTCGCGGCCCGTGGGTATGCCCATATATAACTACATTTTCTCAAAAACCTTACCTGAACAAGATGACGCTGGTCTAGGAAACATAGCAGCCATGATTGATCCCTGTTCTGCTCGATTTGTTGTTGAAGAACTTGAAAGATTGCTCGTTGTGGAAACACTCAATTTCCTGCTTTGAATTTCATTAAATAATTCTTTAGTGGTCTTCACCTTTTTCACAGTCGAGCCTTGACCAAAGAAGATTTGTTGGGAGAGGCTAGCCGATGTATCCTTGGTTATCAAAGAGTCAACCCCTTTAGAGCCTCTTTTTCGACCGCGTTTTTTTGGAATATGCAAACGAGACTGAGACGTTGTGTTCTCCAAATCATTGCTGCCCACAAGTACAGCTTGATGCATACTAGCATCTATTGTAGTCTCAATTTTCCTGCTGCTATCTTCCATATTTAAAGGAGACAGTCGACTGCAAGAGGCACCACTCGAATCATATATATTATTATAATCATCATATTTTCCAGCCTGTTTTCTAGACGGTTCATTGCTTCGTACGGGGAAAAGGCCTGCAGAATTATTATTGTGACTGGATGCAGACTTGAATCTGCCCGTAAATGTCAATTCGCTGGCGTTTAATCTCGTTTTATTATGCTGCGAGTTTCCCAATGTGGTAATGGCTTCCGCGGAAAATATCGAGCTCATTGAACTGTTTGAGAGGGAAAAGATTTCTGCAAAGTAAAGAAAAGATAAATGTAAAAGGAACACACTTGGGGAAGTAGAGAATATTTCACACTGGCCTTTTACAGTTTCACATCTTTAGGTTTTTATTTACATGTAGCAATCGTTCCACTGTCATAGTATATATAGTATAACAATACAAAATGGCTGTCTCAAAGTAGATAAAAACATATTGATCGTTTCTGTGTCAGCTATAAACTATACAAAGTTCCCTGAAATAGCTGAAAACTCAGACTATATTGCATAAAAATCAACAGACGGGCATATCTATATCAAATATCTTTGGCTAGATTGACTCAGCTGGTTAAGCTGATCAATATTTTTTAGGCATACACTTGCTCTCATATCTCTGCGTGCAGGACAATAAAAATCATAACATTGACTTTAACGTAAAATAATTCTGCTAATATTTTGCACTGCGAATAAAAATTGGTTCATTCTATTAGTCATTCAATTGACTTCGCCTCTTTATTTTTGCGGAATTATGAGCCTAGCGGTTTTCTTATAATGACCATTATACCCAAACCCCTCTTAAAAATATCAGCCTCAAAAGCGTACAACAAAGAAGATCGCCATTTAATGTCCAATGCTGTTGTCCAAAGTTGGCTTTGCGTCTTTGGTTAATCAATTTTTTATGGGTAATATATGCATTTGTCACTATGGAGTCTAAGGGAAAGGAGATTTGCGCTGACGAAACAAAAATCATACTTAAACTGCATCTTGAAGGCAAAAGCTACAGGGAGATTGGAAAAACCATTGGCAGATCGCACTCATCTGTTCAAAGAGTTACTGTACGCAGAGATATCAGAGCAAGTATACCTAAGGGGTGGATTATTCTTCTTCTGACAGTCACATAAAGCCGTCGACAGTTATTTAAAAGGATGACTAGATGGTTGCATTTGCATCGATAAAAAGGTAAATCAAAGGTTTTTAGACCAGTATGAGGCATAATATATCTGTAGCTTACAGTAATGGAATTATTGTAATATTCGACTACAGATTTCCGTTTGTCGGCTCATAACTTATCAAATGCAAAATTCGAATCTATCAGGCCTGCTCCGGTTTTCGATTTGGAAAACCAAAATACATAGCTGCTCCCATTTTCACTTTCACATTATTCTTTCGGTTTGGAATCGAGCATGATAGAATTATACAATTATAGTCCCGTCGGGGCAAAATTGTTCGGACTTTAGGGCTTATTTTGACAGCTCGTGCCTATTCATTGAGTTATTTTATTCAAACTTTCAGGCTATACCCGTCTCACACACACTTTGATAGCCTAGTTCGGCTTATTTTTCCGACGGGACTACCTTGTATAGCGAAATCACACAAAGCGTCACCAAACTAAAAACAAAAAAAGTTAAAATCGGAGCAAAAAGATGCAAGACCAACGCTCGTGGCTCCGCCTGGTTGTCCGAGAGCAATCAACAACCAACTTAGAAAACTTCTTAGTAAACGTTTCAGCAACAGATATAGAAAAATATTTTCTATATCCTTTTTATTTACTAAATATTTATAGAAAATTGTAGGTTTATATTTTTATCGATGCAAATGTAACCACCATAGTTATATAAAAAAAATGTTGGAATACCATACATTTACAAATCACATTAAAGAAATACCCCTAATGTTACCATTTATGTACATGTATAGAAGTTATCCCGAGAATTAAAAAAAAACCGATGTCGCCACTATTAATGTTTTCACGGCTCTACTCTGAGATATATAGGCATCCTACCTGAGTCTGCTTGTGACAATGTCTCTGCAACTTTTCCATGAACTCGTACATTCTGTACATCATTATCTTTATGTTTTTTGGCCTTTTTTAATTTCTTTTGTTTAGGAATCGGACTTGCTACGGGTATGGGGATAGCAAGTATTGAATTCTGGGCATTTCCGCGCTTCGACGGTGCAACCGCACTGCTATTGTAATCCGTCTCATCCGAATCAGAAGCAATATCAATGACCACAGCAGGTTCGTTCTCGGTGTTTGCGATGGGTGCTGCCTCGTGCCTTCTCATTTTATTCTTGCTTTCCCTGTGCACATTATTAACCAAGTTGGAGAAACTGGTATGATGCACAGTATCAGATGAATTCTGTGTTTCTGGATGTATAATTTGCTGTGACGGCGATAAGGGCAAATGGATCGACTCTTGATCTAAATCGGTCTTGACGAAATCTGAGGAGGGCTGCTGTTGCTGCTGCAGGCTTACACTACTCAGCTGATGCGACTGTGACTCATTGACAGTCTGCTGTATCCCCACCATTTCACGCCATTTCTTCAGTAAAGACTTGGCGCGTCGCGCCAAATGTTCGTTCTTAGTTCGCCGCCTTAATTGGTTGATGTACTTGGCCAGTCGGGTGGCCTCCAGTTGCTCCTTTGTAATTGTTGTACCCTCCAAAGCACATATAACCGACAGCACAGTCTCCATATTAACAACCTGAATAACAAATAGGGATACAAATAAGTATAGAACACAGTTTTTTTAACAGGATTGTTCTCACATCGTAGTTTTGATCAAGTGCCTGGGATAGGTGAGAGGTGAGTTGCTGGATTTGGTTTTGGTTCATTTATAGCTCCAACGACGACGGCTGGCAACAAAAAAAATTATACAAAATATACCAAAAAAAAATACATATATATACATATATATATGTATATATATTACCAACAGTAGTTATTATAAAACCCCAAGACAATTTAGAAAATTTGTAAGCAAATATTGTACATTTAATGAATGGCACACACGCACACACACAAATTGCAGCACAAAAACACCCCTTACAATATATAGTTTGCACATTCAAATTATATTTCCGTTATCGACAAGCCTCTGCTTTGTTCAGATGTGTTTAAATATATCGAACGCAAAATGTTCAGTAAATTAATATTTCATTTTTAATATTCCGACACTAGCACAATTCGCCATTTTCACCATTTACAGCTGCACTTTGTCAGTGGTGATGCCTTGACGATATATTGCAAACATCGATAGCATTTTACTTTAGTATTATATTGATATATTCTAGACTATTTACACTGGTGCATATCTTATGGTGCGGATTACGCATTGCAGCAAAATATTGTAGTTGGATATAATAAAACCACTTTGTATATAATTCTTTAATTTAACAAAATTTAAACAAATTATTTGTTTTTTGTAATTAAAAAAAGAGAAATTCTCAGTTTAATTTATAAGTATTTTATTAAACCTCTACTAAAAAATTGTTAGCAAATCGCATCCACCGTCCGTTGAACAAACTGCCCATAAGGTTTTGCCGTTCCAAATTATCTCATGTTGGACCGCGCTTGGAGTGCATCTAAATTTAACCACCGTTTGTTGGCGATAGTTAGGCAATAGTTTTTCGGTGCAACTCTGATGTCTTCTTAACAATGAAAACTTGACCATCAATACGAAAATGTAAACAAAGTTGGCGAGGAAGAATTGAAAAATGAAATTTACAATGTGGCGCCAAAGGTACTAACATGCCCAAAATAGTTGTTGGTTTTTCTTCTTGCTCCAAAATGCCCCAATCGATACTATTTAATATATACCGCCTACCTCTCTTTATTTTATAGATTTTGGAAGCCTATACCACCTATACACACACTTCGGGGCATTTGATCTTTGTTAGAGAAAAATCATTAGATAAACTTAAATTCCTCGTCATATAATTCATTTTATGATAGTGCGGATAAAATCTGACGCGATCTGTGGATTTGCTTTTGTGAAACAGCCGAAATAGTTGATAAACTCTTCATTTTACTCCCACATCGGCCGCTTCAGCAATCTATGTATACGTTTTCATGAGCCACAGCTGTTCGATCAGCTCTTATTGGATGCGGATGCACTTTAACGCAGTTCTGTGGGAGCACGAGTTTCGCATGTGTGAAAAATCCTAACCGTTCCACACAAATGCGCTGAGTGGGAAGACAGTATAATACTGATCTTCCCACCAAACAGTTGAAATTTTTAGCAGATGTGAATCTCGTGTTCACACAGAGCCAATTACAGCTGATCGACCAGCTGTGCCATATCTAAACTATAAACAAAGTTGTCCGAAGTGGCCGTTTGGGGCATTAAATGAATGAGTTTACCAACTATTTAGTCTGTTGAATAACAGCAAAATCACAGATTGCGTCAGATTTTATACGCACTATATTTAAATGAGACAGATGACGAGGAATTTGAGTTTCTCTAATGATTTTTCTCTAACCGTAAGAAAATGCCCCACAGAGTGTGCAATAAAGTAGAATTGGGGACATTCCAGGGCAAGAACATACAGAAAAAAACGAACAACTTTGGGCATGCTTGTAGCCTTGGCGCCACATTTTAAATTTAATTTTTCAATTGTTCCTCGCCAACTTTATTTACATTTTTCGTAGTGTTGGTCAAATTTTCACTGTTAAGAAGAAGAAATCAGAGTTGCACCGAAAAACTATCGCCTAACTATCGCCAAACAAACGGTCATTAGATTTAGATGCGCTTTGATGCCGGTCCATTTGAGAAAATTCGGAACGGCAAAACCATATGGGCAGTTAGTTCAACGGACGGTGAATGCGCTTTGAAGGTGTATGGGCAGACCCTATTAACAGTGAAAATTTGGCCAAATCTACGAAAATGTAAACAAACTTGGCGAGGAACAAATGAAATTGTAATTTAAAATGTGGCGCCAAAGCTACAAGCATGCCCATAATAGTTGTTAGCGTTTTTTTTTATATTCTTGCCCCAAAGTGTCCCCAATTGCTACTATTTAATATAAACCCGCTACCCCTACTTTGTTTTATAGATTTGGGAAGCCTATACCACCTATACATACTCATCGGGGAATTTACTCTTTGTTAGAGAAAAACCATTCGAGAAACTCAAATTCCTCGTCATCTAATTCATTTTAAATTAGTGCGGATAAAATCTGACGCAATCTGTGCTTTTGCGGTTTTACAACTGTCAAAATAGTTGGTAAATGCTTCATTTCAATTTAGCTAAAGCCAATTCGACAGCCATTGTTAACGTTTTTATGAGCCACAGCTGATCGATCAGCTGTTCGGTTGCAGATGCACTTTGACGCAGCTCTGTGAGAACACGAGTTTCGCATCTGCGAAAAATCCCAACCGTTCCTCTCAGATGCTCTGTGTGGGAAGACCGTATAAGAAAAAGAAATCAGAGTTGCACCGAAAAACTATTGCCTAACTATCGCCAACAAACGGTGTTTAAATTTAGATGCACTCTAGGTGCGGTCCAACATGAGAAAATTCGGAACGGCAAAACTTATGGACCGTTTGTTCAACGGATGATGGATGCGCTTTGACGGTGTGTGGGAAGACACTATTAATCTCAACAAACCCATTATATTCTTGAAGGACAATTAAAGCCGCGGACAGAATTACAGGAACAGGAAGTAGGAGTCCAAAACAACGACGATAAACTGACAAGTATCTTTTGCGGAGTTTGTCCAAACTTCCATGACAACAGCAACAACATTTGTAACAATCTCTTAATAAAAATACACTTGAAAAACAAAGAAGTTCTATTTTTTTCCTATTAATATTCGTATTGTTCCTATGGCAGCCATAAGATATAATCGTCTGATTTTCATAAAATTAAAACCGAAATTCTAAAATAATAAAAAACGGTCATATCCTAAAAAGATGAAAATGTGTTGAAAAACACCGAAGCTATAATTTTTATACCCTTGCAGGGTATTATAATTTCAGTCAGAAGTTTGCAACGTAGTGAAGGAGACGTTTCCGACCCTATAAAGTATATATATTCTTGATCAGCATCAACAGCCGAGTCGATCTAGCCATGTCCGTCTGTCCGTCTGTCTGTCTGTCTGTCTGTCGTTTCTACGCAAACTAGTCCCTCAGTTTTAAAGCTATCTGAATGAAACTTTGCATATACAGGCCTGCTCCGGTAACCGAAAACGGCAAGATTTTTTCGTTTTCGTTTTTGAAAACGAGAAATTGGTGCTCCGGTAATCGAAAACGAAAGATTTTTTTGATTTAAAAAACGGGCACCTTTTTCTGGCCGGAATGAAAAGTAAATGGCTTTTTTTATATGAAATCAGATCTTATTTACAAAAGGAAAAAAATAGTTTACTCGGTGGTCTATTGATGTTTATTCCACACCACCACAAGATCATTCTTGCAGGTAGCTATTTTATAAAAAATTTATTTCTGACCCCTCCTCAGATTTGACAACAAAATTTTTGCCGTGTTCAACCAGTTTTCTCGTTTTGGCGATAGGTCGATAGGTTAACCGCAAAAAGTTATCGCCAAGGTTGCCATATTGTTGGTGGAACGAAACATCCAGTTAAAAATACTTATAAAATATAAATGAATACATTAATAACTTTAAAGAACCGCCAAAATGATTGTTTATAATTAATGTTTTTTAATGTGATTACTTAAATAGTCCAAATTAACCAAATAATTATTTGAGACCACCGGAATTGAAACTGTGAAAAGTGTGGCAGCATCTTAGGTGCCTAGATTTGCTTAACTCTAACATTTTTTGCCTTTTTCTGGCTTATGAAAAGGCAATTGTAAATATAATAGGCAGTACTTTACGTTGTTTGCTTATTACCAAAAACACAAGTTAGCTTCTTGAGCAGTGAGAAACGATGAGAAAACGAAACATTCCGATAGCAGAACTTTGCCGAAAACCGGAGCAGCTAAAAACGAAAACGGTTCGTTTTCGCCCAAAACGAAATCGAAAAAATTTTACGATTACCGGAGCAGGCCTGATATTCTTCTATATACTCTCACTGCTATATATGTCGAAACGGGCCGGATCGGACGACTGTATCATTTAGCTGCCATACAAATGTTCGATAAATTTTTAGAAAAATAATGTTCAGGTCAGGAGCTTTCGTTTCCCCCCCGCGCGACTCCGAAGCGCTCCCGCTTCTGCAAAGCTCCTCAGCGCGCTCTCGATCTCAGCTTGCGCTCTTGCGCAGCTTGCTCTCTCGCTCTTCTAGCGGAGGCTTTCGACACTGGGCGATCGGCGGTTCTGATCTCTCACTCCAACTTGTATTTTTAATTCCTATACTGAAGTCTAATAAAGCGGACCAAGTCCACGATTTTATATTTTGAAATTAACCACGCCCCCCGGCCTACTACTATTTCTCTTCGTTTGGTGGTGACTTTTCGCTATTTCTACGGTGTTTTCGCTGACTGCGGCGCGGGAGTGTTTTATAATAATTTTTTGTGCTCATCTTACGGAACGGACACCAAGTTTCCCCCCAGCCGAACATTTGGTCCTACGGAGCCCGATTTTTGGATTTTTTCTGGATTCCGGATTTTTCAACCCCTCACCAGCAGTTCTCAGCGTTTCTTATTTCCCAAGATAAGTACGAACTATTCCGTCGCCCCCTCACTGCCGGTCTTCAGCAGTAGTCCGAACAATTAATTTCGGTCACTCTGCTGCAAGATTAATTTTCCGTGTCGACTCCAAGAGCGAGTTTTCCTGACAACGGCAGTTGAGGAATTTTCCATTTACTATTTTCCATTTCATAAAATTTGGCAAATTTTTTTCAATCCGTCTCCGTTTTAAACGTCGCCATATTCTTTTTCGTCCGCTTTCCTCTATACATATTGGCATATCCGTACATCAACGTACAAAACGGTTCCGACACAAAAATAAAATTCATACATACATATGTCCATACATCGGTCTACAGAAAGACATTGATTTTATTTCACACAATATAAAAAAAAAAATAGTAAGATTCCGATAATAAAAAATTACTAATAATAAATAATACAGTCCGCTGCTAACATCCATATATACACATATATTATTATATTTTCTCCAGATAAAACATATATTATTCCATATTATATTTTTTCCCCATCCACATACATTTACATACAACATTTTTAAAACCAAGAAAATAAAACATAATAAATAAAGAATAAAATATTTAAACAAAATTTTGTAAGCCAGTGTCCGTCTTTTTTCTGCATTTTATTGGCGCGCCTTACATACATAGTTCCGCTGCCGTCGCGACATCTGCATACTTACATACATACATAACTAAGAGCTTTACATTGCCGGCAGCGCATCCCAACGAACATTGAGTTGAGGAAAAAGGTGTCAGGTGTTCCGATCCCACCATTCCGATCGAATTATTTTTTCCTCAAAATTTTGTAAGCCAGTGTCCGTCTTTTTTCTGCATTTTATTGGCGCGCCTTACATACATAGTTCCGCTGCCGTCGCGACATCTGCATACTTACATACATACATAACTAAGAGCATGATACAATTATACATTATATAATTCTATCATGACTAAGAGCTTTATATTGCCGGCAGCGCATCCCAACGAACATTGAGTTGAGGAAAAAGGTGTCAGGTGTTCCGATCCCACCATTCCGATCGAATTATTTTTTCCTTATAATTAATATTTTTTTATTAATTAATAATTAATCAATTAATTGCTCATTTAATACTTTTTAAAGTTTTGCACGCGATTAAATAACCGCAATTGTCAAGGGTACTCCATATATATTTTCTTTGCATTTATTGGGTTATTATTAAATACGAAAATAATAAACAACTCGGCAGTTCCGTCCAGCAATGAGTTATTTGGTACAAATAAATTTTTAAATTCTCGTCGCACTTGCTCCAATGAATATTGGCTCCACTACAACTGAATTTTTCCATTCTCGTCGCATTTGCTCCAATTAATATTGGCTCCACTACAAATAAATTTTCCATTCTCGTCGCATTTGCTCCAATTAATATTGGCTCCACTACAAATAAATTTTAAATTCTCGTCGCATTTGCTCCAATTGATAGTGAGTCCGCTACACATATTTTCGGTTATCGTCGCTTCTACGTCAAGTAAATTTTTTCCAGTTTATTTACTTGCAATTCTGAGATTGATTAATCCCGCCATCTACCATCTACCATCCTAGTTATGCGGCATATTCTTGCAATCCATATTCGCTTCGTTTTTACCGTCTCACATTTCTACTTCGGCGTTTTTAGTTGACGGTATTGACCACAACTAAGTCTAACATTCGAATTCTACGGCATATTCTTGCCAATCCAATCCAAAAAAAAAAAATGTCGGAAGGACAAGAACCAATTCTGCAAGACGCGAGTCAGAAGAGGGAGGGAGCGCAGTTAGCGCCTTCAATAGATGGAAGTCAAAGGCGGGAACCGAGTCCGAGAAACACGGACGCGGGACCGTCAAGTAATTTGAGATCCAAAGCCAAGAGCACTTTAGACGTTATTTTGCTTGAGTTCAACTAGCGACCGTCTTAGCAAATTTGAAAGCCAGATATTTACGGCATCCTCTTCCGAGCCTAGTTTGTTTACCTTAAGGATCCGTCTGGATCAGATACAATCCTTATGGGAAAAGGTTGAACGGGAGTATGAAACCGCTTCCAAAGCAGCTCTTCGCGAAGGAGGTAGCGGAAATCTTCCGTTACTGCAAAACAAATATGAGCACTGCTATGCGGTGTTCGAAAGATGTGCTGCGAAGCTAAATGACGACATCGACCGTATGTCCGCCCCCACTTCACCGCCAAGAACAGCTCCGCCGACAGAGACATTCTCGAGGGGTTGCCGTCTTTCGCCATGCGATACAGGGATCTTTGACGGAGATTATCTGCGCTGGCCCACCTTTCGTGACCTGTTTACGGCCATTTATGTAAACAATTCCAGGTTAACTCCAGTGGAAAAGCTTTTCCACTTAAACGCTAAAACTAGCGGCGAAGCTCACGCCATTGTGGCCAAGTCTCCGCTGACTAATGATGGGTTCCAATCCGCGTGGTCAGCGCTTCAGGATCGCTTTGAAAATAAGCGATTGTTGGTAAACAGCCAACTAAAAATCCTGTTTAGTCTTCCGACCCTAGGCAGTGAATCAGGCACGGCCTTGAAAGATCTGCAGAGCACAATCCAAGGGTGCTTGATAGCCCTCGAGCATTCACAAATTTCCACGGAAAATTGGGACTGCCTTCTAATTTTTCTAATCTCCTCCAAGTTGCCAAACGTCACTCTCTCGTTATGGGAGCAGTCCTTGACCAATAAGTCCGCGATCCCAGCCTGGGAAGAAATTAATTCCTTTCTCGAGGAGAGATATCGGACGTTAGAAGCAATTGAGGATGTCCGACCCAATTCTTCCAGCACACAGCATTCAAGGGAGCCCAGAAGTGCACAACCAAGGAGGGTAAATACCTTCGAGACACAAGTCGGGCCACGCGCACGATTTTGTGATCTCTGCTCCAGAGAGCCTCATCCAGTTCGGCTTTGTCCTCGTTTTTTGCAGATGACTCAACCACAAAGAGCATCATATATTAAACAAAAGAGACTGTGCCTTAATTGCTTTGCAAGGGGACATAATCTTCGTGAATGCCCGAGCAGGCATAGTTGCTTCACATGCAGGGGACGGCATAATACGCTCTTGCACAAAGATACTCCGTCTAACGCTGTTAGCACAGCGCCGGCTCACCCTCCAGAGCAGCCAATCTCAAACACGTCAGTTCATTTCGCCTCCAACCAACAAGGAGTACTTCTAGGTACGGCCATAGTTCATGTGTGCGACCGAGGAGAGAATTTTCCAGCACGTGCCCTGATAGATTCAGGCTCCGAAGGCACTTTCATTTCAGAGAGGCTTGCCAACCGGATTAAACTTCCATTTCTAGCCGTAACAACAAGAGTCACAGGGCTCAACCAAGCCAATTCCGGTGTCTCACAAAAAATGTGTCATTTCCATATGGGCACTCCGGCCAAACCTATGCTCAAGATCGACACGACGGCGTTTGTGCTGCCGAACCTGGCCGGCAATCTTCCGACAAGCATAATTGATCGAAACATTCTTGATAAGCTGCCAAATATGCCATTGGCAGATCCGTCGTTTTTCCAGCCGTCTCAGATAGACCTTCTTCTAGGTGCGGATATTCTTCCGTCTGTCCTGCTATCGGGCTGGAGGCCAAACGTATGTGGGTCTTTATTAGCGCAAGAGACCATTTTCGGGTGGATTTTGACCGGCCCATTGTCTTCAACCACTAGTAGGGTTTCGTCTTTTACCACACAGATATCCATAGAGTCCGAAGCAAACATGGAAACACTTCTCACAAAATTTTGGGAGGTGGAGGACCTTCCATGTAGACTGGTAAAGGAGACGGACAAGTTGTGTGAAGACTTTTTCGTCCGAACAACTACCAGATCCTGCGACGGGAAATATATAGTACCCCTGCCCTTCAAAGATTCAGAGCACATTGACTTGGGGCATTCCATGAGTTCCGCACTCGCACAGTTTCTGAGGAATGAGACTCGCTTGAAGAAGGAGCCCGCTCTCAAAGACACTTATGACTCAGTGATCCAAGAATATATCGATCTTGGACATATGAAGCCGGTGCCTCCGAATACCGACAAGATAAATTTCTATCTCCCCCATCATGCAGTATTTAAGCCCGAAATTGCGACCACGAAAGTTCGCGTACTTTTCAACGCATCAACCTTCTTCCAATGGGAACAGCCTTAATGACATTCTGTATCCAGGGCCAGTACTGCAGTCCGATCTCACTCTTCAAATCCTGAAGTGGCGGACGTTTAAATTCGTTTTCAATGCCGACATCACCAAGATGTATCGGCAAATTCTCCTAAACCAAGAGCACACTCCGTTTCAGAGAATTCTCTTTCGAAATGGCCAAGGGGATATATCCGACTTCGAGCTTCAGACGGTCACGTTTGGAGTGAATTGTGCCCCTTTCCTGGCCCTACGAACACTGCAACAATTGTCCGACGATGTCAACGCCCAATATCCACGGGCGTCGCATATAATTTCAAATTATATGTATGTCGACGATGTGCTAGCAGGAGCCCATACAGAGGCTGAAGCTATTTTAGTCATTCGGGAGCTGCAAGCAGCTCTGGACTCATCTGGATTCCCTCTCCGCAAGTGGACATCGAATGAACGTGCACTCCTTAAAGCACTTCCTAAAGAGCATCTACTTTCGACTGATTTTCTTGATCTCGAAGAGGTCAGCACCACTAAGACATTGGGAGTACGGTGGAACGCTACGACGGATGAGTTCTATTTTGTCCCAACAGAGGTCACCATTCAGGCAAACTATTCGAAACGCGGCGTCTTATCCCAAATCACGAAATTGTTCGACCCAGCTGGGTGGCTCTCCCCATTTGTGGTTCAGGCCAAAATCCTGATGCAGGATATCTGGTTAGCCAGCGTCGAATGGGATGAGTTTCTTCCTGCAGAACTACTACATCGCTGGCATGATTTCCTTCGGAGCTACAGTTTCCTCCACCAAGTTCGCATCCCGCGTTGGGTACAGGGTACAAGTCCAGGTGTACAAGTCCAAATCCATGGTTTCTGCGATGCCTTCCAAAAGGCTTATGGCGCAGCGATTTACGTGCGCATCCAGCGTGATGGAATCATTTCATCAAATCTTCTAACGTCAAAGACCAAAGTCACTCCGGTAAAAACCGTCTCGCTCCCGCGTCTAGAACTGTGTGGAGCCGTCCTTCTGACAGACTTGTGGACTGCAATTCTGCCTCAGATTCCTTTCGGTCGTATAGAATCTTTTCTATGGACTGATTCCACTATTGTGCTGGCATGGTTGAACAAGCCACCATGTCAGTGGACGACCTTCGTCGCAAATAGAGTCACAAAAATCGCTCAAAATACTGATGCCAGCCAGTGGTCTCACGTGCGTTCCGAGCACAACCCAGCAGATCTAGCCAGTCGTGGAGTAGCGACTGAAGAGTTAGCTACCAGTGAGCTATGGTTGCATATGCCTTTATGGCTAACTCAGCCACAAGACTCCTGGCCTGCACCTTATGAATCTGTTTCCGACATCGACATCGAGAAGCGACCCATACGTTGCCATTTAGCATGCCCGGAGCAGGACATGCTTGAGCGGTTCTCCAAGCTCGATAAGGCACTACGAGTTTTCGCCTATGTTCAGCGCTTCATCCAAAAACGCAAAAACGACCTATTCCAGGCGAGCTGCAGCTATCCAATACAGAGATTTCCACAGCTGAGCGACTCCTAATTTTCATAACACAGCGCAGATACTTTGCGCTTGAATATGCCTGCCTGAGCCAAAAGCGGCCAATTCCAGCATCCAGTTCTATTAAGAACATGAATCCCTTCCTTGATCCTCACGGCCTCATCAGGGCGTGTGGTCGGGTGACGGCCTCCGAAGTCCTCCAATATGATGAACGGCATCCGATCTTTCTTCCATACAACTGTCAGTTGGCGCGTCTCCTTGTATCCTTTACGCATCGCATCTCCTTGCACGGCGGTAATCAGCTAATGGTACGCCTAATCCGCTCAAAATTCTGGATACCAAGGGTCAAGAACTTAGTCAAGTCTGTAATTTTCTCCTGCAAAATATGTGTGATCCACAAAAAGAAGTTGCAGACCCAACTCATGGGCGAGTTACCAAAAGAAAGAACGTCCTTTTCGCGGCCTTTTACGTACACGGGCATGGATTATGCCGGACCGTTTGATATAAAGAACTACACCGGGAGAGCCTGCCTGATTACCAAGGGCTATGTGTTGGTGTTTGTATGTTTCTCCACGAAGGCCATCCATTTAGAGCCTACTTCTGACCTCACAACAGAGAAATTTCTCGCAGCATTCGCCCGATTCGTCTCGCGAAGAGGGTGCCCTCGACAAGTTCAGTCAGACAATGGGAAGACCTTTGTTGGTGCAGCCGCAGTGCTGTCGCGTGAATTTCTGCAAGCGGTCAAGGAATCCGTGACGAATGCTTATAGTCACCAGGAACTCCTGTGGCAATTCATACCACCAGAAGCCCCGCACATGGGAGGATTATGGGAAGCTGGGACGCTGTTTTATAAATCCACAGCCACTCGAAAGTATACGTTCGAAGAGCTTTCCACATTGCTGGCCAAGATTGAGGCCTGTCTAAATTCGCGTCCACTCGCCCCGATGTCCGAAGACCCCACAGACTTGTTAGCACTCACGCCAGGTCATTTTCTCGTAGGGGGACCCCTTCTCGCCACCGTCGAACCCGAAATTAAGGGTGCGTCCACTTCTATTATCAACCGGTGGCAGCACCTTAAGGCCCTTCATCAGCAATTCCGCCTGAGATGGAAGGAAGAGTACCTCAAGGAGCTCCACAAGCGAACAAAGTGGCAAGTCCTCACAAGAAATCTCGAGGTGGGCGAGATGGTTATAATCAAGGACGATAATCTGCCATCCAATGAGTGGCGGCTCGGCAGGATTGACTCCGTGTTTCCCGGACCCGATGGTCATGTCCGAGTAGTGAATATTCGTACTGCTCGGGGAATCGTTAAGCGCCCTGTCGCAGAAGTCGTATTGCTTCCGGGGGCGACCTCCGAAAAATCTCAATAACTAGCCGTATCCTCACTCCGTAGTTTGCTTCTTTCGCTAGTTCTAAGTCATATTTTCGACTCCATACTAATTCTTTTTTTTTGTATCCTACTCCAGATTATAAACATTGTTCCCACGTCAACGTAGCGCCGTCGAAATGGAGAGCAGACGTACACGAGGTATAAATTCCTACCGTTGCCGAGTCTGCCACGGAGTCCACCCTCTACGGAAGTGCCGCAGATTCTTGCGGCTGAGCATCGAAAAGAGGCTCCGCGCGGTCCTCGCGAATCGCTATTGCGCCAACTGCTTGGCTCACGAGCATTCGGATGGAGCGTGCCGCCGTGGCGATAGGTGCAAGATCTGCAACGGAAAGCACCACACACTGCTGCATATGCAGGAGCAGCCGCTGTATTTACGTCGTTCGCGTCAGTTGACGCCGCCCTCTCGTCGCGCTCGAGCTTCTGCTCACCACGCTTCGACCTCTCTTCACCACGCTTCGACCTCTCTTCACTACGCTTCGACCTCTCCTCGGCGCTCTTCGGCCTCTCCTCGGCGCTCTGCGGCCTCTCTTCAGCTTTCGTCGGCCTCTCCTCGGCATTCTTCGGCCTCTCCACGGCATTCGTCGGCCTCTCCACGAACCGCGGCATTCGCCCCGCAGGGAGTTCTGACAGGGCCTTCACTGGCCACGTTGCTTCAGCGATACCGCGTGAACCTCCTCCCGACCGCGCTGGTGCGGATTGACACCGGGATGCGAGTGTTCGACACAGCGGCGCTTATCGACCCATGCACGCCTATGAGCTGCATTGACGCGTCGCTGGCGACTTCTTTGCGACTTTCAACGACAGCGGTGGGTGCTGAACAGATCTGCTCAGCCACCGTCGGCTCGAAAACGAACGCCCATGTCCGGCTCGACCTCGTTTTCAAAGTGGAGCCTCACGTGCGCGTCCGCACTCCGATCCGACAGTTGGATGAGACTGTGCGGGCCTATTTCAAGGACATCACCTTGGCTGATGAACGGTTCTACCTTCCGGCTACGATCTCCGTCATCCTGGGTGCGGATGTGTACCCCAAAGTTATGCAGCCTGGGTTCCTGAAAGTGCAGGATGGATTGCCGGTGGCCCAAAGCACCGTATTTGGATGGGTCCTGTCCGGGGCCTGTCACACGCCGTAATGAGGAGCAGACTTTATTGCAACCCATAGTGATTGCAAGGGGGGCGGAATGTTTAGGTCAGGAGCTTTCGTTTCCCCCCCGCGCGACTCCGAAGCGCTCCCGCTTCTGCAAAGCTCCTCAGCGCGCTCTCGCTCTCAGCTTGCGCTCTTGCGCAGCTTGCTCTCTCGCTCTTCTAGCGGAGGCTTTCGACTCTGGGCGATCGGCGGTTCTGATCTCTCACTCCAACTTGTATTTTTAATTCCTATACTGAAGTCTAATAAAGCGGACCAAGTCCACGATTTTATATTTTGAAATTAACCACGCCCCCCCGGCCTACTACTATTTCTCTTCGTTTGGTGGTGACTTTTCGCTATTTCTACGGTGTTTTCGCTGACTGCGGCGCGGGAGTGTTTTATAATAATTTTTTGTGCTCATCTTACGGAACGGACACCAAGTTTCCCCCAGCCGAACAAATAATTATAACTTTGCTGTTTTTAAACATTTTTGCACCATTTTTTAGATATGGCCATTCTATATTATTTCAGAATTTTAGTAAAAATTTTATGAAAATCGGACGACTATATGATATAGCTGCCATAGGAACGATCGGGAAATTAATAGAAATAAAATTACAGCTTCGTTGTTTTTCAACGCATTTTTATTTACTCTGAGATATATTATTCTAGAATTTTGGTATAAATTTCATAAAAATCGGACAACTATATCTTATAGCTGCCATAGAAGCGATCGGTAAATGTATAAAATATATAAAGCTGGGAATGTAAAACTGTTACTGTCAAACTGTAAACATAATAAGTATAGGTAAAATGTAATGAAACTCTTTTTTGTGAGTGTTTTCAGCATTTAAATCTATAATATAAACATCAAAACCAATCTGCAAGGGTATACAAACTTCGGCGTGCCGAAGTTAGCTTCCTTTCTTGTCTATGGCAGCTATATGATATAGTCGTCCGATCCGGCCAGTTTTGAATTATATATCAGTGAGAGTAGTTGGATGCCTACATATTCATATCTGTTTGGGGCGGCACTTCTTTCCTTGGAAGTGGTGGTGGTTAGTAGACGGAGGAACATACCCACGGCGCAAGCGTAAAAGTTGTCGGAATTGAAATAAGTAGATCGGGGTCGTCGTGGGTAAATTCAATCGAAGGTTCAGCTTTATTGGCTGTATACATGGAACTAATTCTAGTTTAAGCATAAGGTCGGGCTCCCGCCCGCTTTACTTCGCTAAAGCGAGATCGGGAGATCGGCAGCGGCCTATCTAGGAATTTGGCATCGAAACCCGAGGCCCGCGCTTGAGAGTGCGGAAGCGCTCAGCGCCGCGGGAGAGCGATTACGGAAGAGCAAAAGGGGCAAGAGCGGAAATCTCAGCCAGCATCGGCGGTACAATGGTCCGCGTACCTAAACACTTCGCCCTTGCAATTGATCGGGTTGCAACAGGTTCGTATTACGGCTGGTGGCGGGCTCCGGACACGACCCAATCAAAGACGGTGTAATGGGCCACCGGTAAACCGTCCTGGAGTTTGAAGAAGGCCGGCTGCATTACGCTCGGGTACATATCCGCGCCCAAGACCATGGAGACCGTCGCGGAGAGGTAGAAGCTCTTGTCAGCCAGCGTAATATCCCAGATGTGGGTCCGCACAGCGTAGCTCAGCTTCCTAATTGGCGTGCGGATGCGCACGTGAGGCTCGATCTTGAAGACGACTTCCAGCCGTAGTGCTGTCGGTCTTAGAGCACACGGAAGCAGTAGACGTGGAGCGTGCGGCGGAAAATGGCCTAGAAGCGGTGGACGAGGTCCGAGGAGCGCCTAAGGAGTTTCGCAAATTGTCGGCTGAACGTAGAGTGGAGGCGGAGGGCCGCAGTCTCTACTCGGCACTCAGTCTGAGGAATCGACAACACAGATGGATCCGGCAGACTCGGTAACGGTAGGATTGTGAACCTTGAGTACATCTGCGCTCCAGTGCGATGACGCTGTGTGGACGTGAAGACATCGTGCCTTATATGACTAACGGAATATGGCGGAGAAAAAAAATCGGCATCAGTACTATAAATAACTTACGAATTGAAACACGGAATAGAGCTACGACACTACAGTAACATAAAACGTCGCAGTGACAGGGCAACTGGTTATTGCTGGCAGGCGGGCGCTTCCATGCGCTAACTGGAAGTATGGAAAGGCCCGATGTTGCGAGCGTGGTGCATGTACTGGTTGGTCATGCATACGCAGGAGAGTGTGGTGGTTCTAATAGCACGTCTTGCAAAGGTCCCACTGCGGCAGGTTTCTTCGGAATGTTTGTGGGCCAAGCAGTTGGAACAGTAGCGGTTGTCGAGAACCGCCGGAGTCTCTTATCTGCGCTAAGTCTGAGGAACTGTTGGCATCTCCGGAGCGGGTGGATTTGGCAACGGTATGACTGCGTGCTTTTACGCCGCGTGCTTGCCAAGGCAGCAGCACTGCGAGTGGGAAGGACTTTGTCCAACGAACGGTTTGCCGCGATGGAAATTCGGGTTGAGAACACCGACACGCC